CGGGTCAGGTGGGATCGGATTTAATCAAATGGGGATCGTGTATTGGATTGGATCAGTTGGCATCGGATTCCTCCACATGTCTGTTTGTGTGAACCCCAAATTGCTTCGCGGCCGTTACGCCCCAGCGTTCATAAGGCTGCGGTGGACGCGACCTCGGCAAGAAGCGGCAATTCCACGTTTCTATGGACGAGGCCAAGTTCATTAATCCGTAAGACGACCCCTGTTGAAATCGCACAAAGTGGTACGGATTATGAATTTTGTCGGTCGCGGAAGGATCGTGGTGGTGATTGTGGTCGTGATGCTGATGATAGAGATAGTGATCGCAATAGTGATGGTGATGATGTCGGTGGTGATTATGTTGGTGATGGTGGTGGTAGTGATGATGATGGTGGTGGTAGTGATGATGATGGTGGTGATGGTAGTGATGATGGTGGTAGTGACGATGGTGGTGATGATGATGGTGGTGGTAGTGATGATGATGATGGTGGTAATGATGATGGTTGTGATGGAGATGATGATGATGATGAAGGTGGTAGTGACGATGGTGGTGATGATGGTGGTGGTAGTGATGATGATGGTGGTGATGGTGGTGGTGATGATGATGGTGGTGGTAGCGATGATGATGATGGTGGTGGTGATGGAGACGATGATGGTGGTAGTGACGATGGTGGTGATGATGACGGTGGTGGTAGTGATGATGATGATGGTGGTGGTGATCATGATGGTGGTGGTGGAAGTGATGATGATGATGGTGGTGATGGTGGTAGTGACGATGGTGGTAGTGACGATGGTGGTGGTGATGATGGTGGTGGTAGTGTTGATGATGGTGGTGATGGTGGTGGTGATGATGGTGGTGGTAGTGATGATGATGGTGGTGGATCATGATGATGATGGTGAAGGTGACGATGGCCACAATGAATGGAACGCCGCCGTGCTTTTAACGGTCAGCAACAGGGCTCGACTTGCAGTCAGTCCAGAGTGCCACCAGCTCTAATCCATCTACCAGGCACAGCGGTTAGGACAATGGGGGGCCAAAGCGTCTGGAACCTTCTCCCCCCGTCTCTGTCCGCCCAGCAGCGGTCTGTACAGCGGTTCAGTCCGCCGGGATGTCGCGTGCCCTTGGGGTAAGGTGCTGGGGTGTGGCGTCCCACCCCATACCGATATCATTTGGCCAGCCCTTCCACCGGCGGCGTGAGCGAGCGATTATAGGACTGCGCCTTTGCTTTTTTTGTGTGTGTTGCACGATGCCCCTGCTGTAGTACAAAGGGGATGTCCATAAATGACGTCACGCGATTTTGGACGATTTTTTTACCCCCCGCCCCCCAGCTCGTCACACGGCGTCACAAAAAGTCAGACACCCCCACCCCCTCAAATATGACGTCACAAAGCTCTGCCCCCACCCCCCCCCCCCCAAAAAAAATAAAATAAAACATGCTTCAAATCGCTTTAAACTATTGTCATTGTAGTGCGTATTTAGTGTGGCGCTGCACTCTGATGTTGTAGGAGAAAACATTTATTAAAAAGTCTATTTAATTAAGTAGAACGTGTTGTCTGTATATTGTTTAAAGTTGCGAATTTTGACGTGACGTCACATTTCTCAACACCCCCCCCACCTTCGTCACACATCGTCACAAATGTCTGACACCCCCCCCCCCCTCGGTGCGTGACGTCATTTATGGACGGGCCCTTACGCAATACCTGTACTGTAGTACAAGCGGCACGTGCGCGGCACGTGTGTTGTGTGTCCGTGCGTGCAACGTTCAGCCGTGGGGGGGGGGGAGCGAGGTGTAGCGGGTAGCGCTACGCTGGGCTGCGAACCGGGCGACCCGAGTTAGATTCCCGCTCACGGCCACCAGCACCGGTGACGATCATCTGAACCGGTCCCGGGTTAAAACAATCATCGACTCAAATGAGTACGCGAGGCGCGGTGGTGTGGTCAACATCGCGGCTGGGGAGACAAAGGCGGTCGAGCGTGGCGCTGGCCACCCGCCCCCTCGCGTGCCGTGCCGCTTAGGCGCTGCAACTCGCTAACAGCACTTGCCCCGACAGTCTGTTGAGGCTACACGGGTGGGGGGAGGGGGGGGGCCTTTGTCTTTGTAATGTTGTCCACTGAACTTCTTCGCCGGGGCGGTGGTGGTGGTGGTGGCTGCCTCACTGCTGCACGAGGCGCTGAGTGTCTATGTCTGTGTGTGTCTATGTCTGTGTGTGTCTGTGTCTTCGTGTGTCTATGTCTGTGGGTGTCTATGTCTGTGTGTGTCTATGTCTGTGTGTGTCTATGTGTGTGTCTATGTCTGTGTGTGTCTATGTCTGTGGGTGTCTATGTCTGTGGGTGTCTATGTCTGTGTGTGTCTATGTCTGTGGGTGTCTATGTCTGTGTCTGTGTGTCTATGTCTGTGTTTGTCTATGTCTGTGTGTGTCTGTGTCTGTTTGTGTCTATGTCTGTGTGTGTCTATGTCTGTGTGTGTCTATGTCTGTGTGTGTCTATGTCTGTCTATGTCTGTGAGTGTCTATGTCTGTGTGTGTCTATGTCTGTGTGTGTCTATGAGTGTCTATGTCTGTGTGTGTCTATGTCTGTCTATGTCTGTGGGTGTCTATGTCTGTGGGTGTCTATGTCTGTGGGTGTCTATGTCTGTGTGTGTCTATGTCTGTGGGTGTCTATGTCTGTGTGTGTCTATGTCTGTGGGTTTCTATGTCTGTGTGTGTCTATGTCTGTGGGTTTCTATGTCTGTGGGTGTCTATGTCTGTGGGTGTCTATGTCTGTGGGTTTCTATGTCTGTGGGTGTCTATGTCTGTGGGTGTCTATGTCTGTGGGTGTCTATGTCTGTGTGTGTCTATGTCTGTGGGTGTCTATGTCTGTGTGTGTCTACGTCTGTGTGTGTCTATGTCTGTGGGTTTCTATGTCTGTGGGTGTCTGACTGTGGGTGTCTATGTCTGCGGGTGTCTATGTCTGCGGGTGTCTATGTCTGTGGGTTTCTATGTCTGTGGGTGTCTATGTCTGTGTGTGTCTATGTCTGCGTGTGTCTATGTCTGTGTGTGTCTATGTCTGCGGGTGTCTATGTCTGTGGGTGTCTATGTCTGTGGGTTTCTATGTCTGTGGGTGTGTATGTCCGTGAGTGTCTATGTTTGTGGGTGTCTATGTCTGTGTGTGTCTATGTGTGTGGGTGTCTATGTCTGTGTGTGTCTATGTCTGTGTGTGTCTATGTCTGTGGGTGTCTATGTCTGTGTGTGTCTATGTCTGTGGGTTTCTATGTCTGTGTGTGTCTATGTCTGTGGGTTTCTATGTCTGTGGGTGTCTATGTCTGTGGGTTTCTATGTCTGTGGGTGTCTATGTCTGTGGGTGTCTATGTCTGTGTGTGTCTATGTCTGTGGGTGTCTGTGTGTGTCTATGTCTGTGTGTGTCTATGTCTGTGGGTTTCTATGTCTGTGGGTGTCTGACTGTGGGTGTCTATGTCTGCGGGTGTCTATGTCTGCGGGTGTCTATGTCTGTGGGTTTCTATGTCTGTGGGTGTCTATGTCTGTGTGTGTCTATGTCTGTGTGTGTCTATGTCTGTGTGTGTCTATGTCTGCGGGTGTCTATGTCTGTGGGTGTCTATGTCTGTGGGTTTCTATGTCTGTGGGTGTGTATGTCCGTGAGTGTCTATGTTTGTGGGTGTCTATGTCTGTGTGTGTCTATGTCTGTGTGTGTCTATGTGTGTGGGTGTCTATGTCTGTGTGTGTCTATGTCTGTGTGTCTATGTCTGCGGGTGTCTATGTCTGTGGGTGTCTATGTCTGTGGGTTTCTATGTCTGTGGGTGTCTATGTCTGTGTGTGTCTATGTCTGTGGGTGTCTATGTCTGTGGGTTTCTATGTCTGTGTGTGTCTATGTCTGCGGGTGTCTGTGCCTGTGGGTGTCTATATCTGTGGGTTTCTATGTAAGCCTGCGGGTTTCTACGGGAGCCTGTGGGTTTCTATGTAAGCCTGTGGGTTTCTATGCGAGCCTGTGGGTTTCTATATGAGCCTGTGGGTTTCTATGTAAGCCTGTGGGGTTATATGCGAGCCTATGAGTTTATATCTGAGTCTGTTGGCTTCTATGTAAGCCCGTGGGTTTATATGTAAGCCTATGTGTTTATATGCGTGTCTGTGGGTTTCTATGTGAGCTTGTGGGTTTTTATGTGAGCCTGTGGGTTTCTACGTGAGCCTGTGGGTTTCTATGTAAGCCTGTGGGTTTCTACGTGAGCCTGTGGGTTTCTATCTGAATCTGTGCGTTTGTCTGCGAGCCTGTGGGGTTTTTTATGCTACGTGAAACCTGTGGGTCTCAACTCCACGTGGCAGTCGAGGAGGTGCCCTACAACACCCTGGCTCGCCCGGCGAAGGCGCCACAGGAACAAACCGTGTACACCACCCGCTCCGGCTGCCTGAGATCGAGCGTTGCCCCCTCGCACGGACGCACGCGCTCGTGGGTTTTTCCGCGGGCGCTCCGGTTTCTCTCCCGCTTCGGGCGACGCCCATCAATCGGCCGGTAACACCCCCCCATACGCGTGGGAGCGCCAGAGCTTGGGAAATTGCTGGCGCCGGCTTCTCACCACGTGGCTGCTGATGCTGCCGTTCCCGCTACCTCGTCTGCGGTTTCGCCTCCAACACGGAGCCACAGCGATTTGTTCACCTTTCCGTGTACTTTGCACTCCTACTCGTGTGTTTGTTTGTTGTTGTTGTAACGTTCTGACCCCGTGCCGCGACTGGACGTCTGTGACAAAGAGCTTCGTGGCTCATCGGATTTCCTCCCCCCCCGCCTCCCCCACTCCCCCCGCGGTGCGGATAAACATTCAGAGTCGTCCTCTCTCGGCGAGAGCGAGGGAGCGTCGGCGTGTTACAAGTTTATGCCATTGTTATCATCGGGGGAATCCTTGTCTTCGTCGCGCGTACACGCGCACGCGCACACGTCCACCCGCGCGTCCACCCGCGCGTCCACCCGCGCGTCCACCCGCGTGCCCATTAACGTCCGCCCCCGCGTCCGCCCGCAGGCCACCACCCCGCTGCGCGACGAGGGCAACATCTACCGGCCGCAGAATCGCGGCGTCACGGCGGTGGCGGACGTGAACCCCGCGGCGGCGGCGGCGCTGAACGGCGACACGCCGGGCGGCGGGGCGGACGCCCACACGCGGGAGATCGACCTCGTGCAGAGGGACCCCCGAGACCTCAACCGCGACGTCGTCCGGGTGCGGCGCTCGCCTCGCTGTGACCTCAGATGACCTCGCCCGATCCCAGATACCCTCGCCTGACCTCGGTTGATCTCGCCCGACCTCGCCCGACCTCGCCTGATCTCGCCTGACCTCGGCTGACTCCGCCATATCACCTTGACCTCACCGGACATCGCCTGATTTGTCACCTGACCTTACCTGACCCCACTTGGCCTTGTCTGAACCCCGCACCTGACCTCACGTGACCCCAGCACGCCTGTAATCCAGCGCTGTGGAGGCGGCGAGGGTTGGCGGATCGCGCACAGATGTTTGTGCTCTTCTCGAAACTCCCTTCCCCGTGGGCGTCGAGGAGGAGCCGTACTCCTCGCCCGCCACGAGAAGGCGGCACGGCAAAGTGTGGACTAATCTCCATCTGTCCCATCTGTACGGGGGTAGAGTTGTTGCCCCCTCGCACGCGTGGGTTTCCTTGAAATCATCACGGTGGTGAGATGTTAACTACCTCGCTGGGCGTACAGGAGTCCGTGGGTTAAATCCGGACCCTCACGCCTGTATATTTGGAGTTTTGCGTGTCTCTCTCCACGTGGTCGCGTGGATTTTTTTTCCCGGGTCCTCCGGTTTTCCTCTTCCACGTTGAGAATCAACGTCACACGTTGAGAGCATTTGGCCGCTATAAATGTCCACGTGATGATAAGCCACTTTGTTTAGCCATCATTTGTGATAGCCAGGTCGCTTCTGCATAAAGAGCTGTGTAGCTCAGTGGGCCTTACCTGGTAAAAAAAATATGAAGAGAACCGCAGAGCTTGGGCAATTGTTGCGAGTGCCGTCTCCCCGCCTGCCTGCTGCTGCTGCTGCCTCGCGGATCGTGCCTGTGATTACTCAACGATTGCGGGAGATGCACTTTGCATGAACGTTGCATATAATAATATTATATCAAAATAACTAAATCAACATTCAACTTGCTCTGCACCTACCCTATCCACATTAACAACACATGACCTAGCTTGACCTGACCTAAACTAATCCAATCTGACCTAACGGGACTCCATCTGGCTCACTCTTATGTTGCTGGTCTACTGATGTGGTTCATAATGGCCAGCCCCACCAACAATCACCACCACCACCACCACCAAATACATCACCACCAAAACACGATCACAACCACCACCACCACCAAAAACACCACCAACACAGCCACCAAAAACAACACCACCACTAGAAACACCATCACCACCACCAAAACATCACTACCACAACTAAAAACGCCACCACCAAAAAAAATCGCAACCACCACCACCAAAGGCAGCACCGGCACAGCCACCAAAAACATCACCACCACCAAAAACATCACCACCAAAAACATCATCACCACCAAAAACATCATCACCACCGCTAACCACCACTAAAAACACAATCACCACCACCACCAAAAACATCATCACCACCACTACAAACACCACCACCAAAAACACCACCACCACCAAAAACATCACTATCACCACCACCACTAAAAACATCATCACCACCGCTAACCACCACTAAAAACACAATCACCACCACCACTACAAACATCATCACCACCACTACAAACACCACCACCAAAAACACCACCACCACCAAAAACATCACCACCACCACTAAAAACATCATCACAACCACCACTAAAAACATCATCACCACCACTAAAAACGCCACCACCACCACTAAAAACATCATCACCACCACCACTAAAAACACCACCACCACTAAAAACACCACCACCACTAAAAACGCCACCACCACACCCATGCACGGTGCCGCTACCACTCGGGGCTCCCCGCCCGTGTGGAGTCATCGCGTGAGCGGCGAGCGAGCAGGAAGGTGTGGAAATCCTGGAATGATATTCATAATCCGCGGATTCCGGAACGATCAATGAGACGAGAACCGCTCTCCCCCTCCCCATATGGGAGAGGAGGATTGGGGGGGGGGTAGAGGGAGTGGTGGTTGGGGGGAGCCATTAATCCAGAACAAAGCACGGAGCTAGCATCAAAAAGTGGAAAGTTTGAATAATGTTGTGCATGTGGGGGGTGGGGGGTGGGGGGTGTGGGAAGGAGCGGTGGTGTAGCGGTTAGCGCGCTGCGCTATGAACCCGGCCACCCGAGTTCAACTCCCGCTCACGGTCACCAATGACGATTATCTGAACCGGTCCTGGGCGTCCCCTAGGTCGACTCAGCCTCAAATTAGTACCTGATGCGGTATGTAAGCATCGCCACTGGGGAGACAAAGGCGGTCGGGCGTGGTGCTGTCCTCCCACCCCCTCGTGTGCCGTGCCGGCCTTCATAGGTGTTGCTCGCTAGCAGCCCTTGCCCCAACAGTCTGTTCAGGCTATACGGGGGATCTTTGTCTTTGTGTATTGTGTGTGTGTAAGTTAAACAAATGCAGCACTGGACACTACAAAGGGGCAAATAATGTAACGGAAATCTGGCGTGGCCCGATAAAATTGTGTCGCCGGAAGGTTACAGCAGGCCTTGGAAAATTAAGGCAGCTGTCAAAATAACAACAACAACAACAATAGCCGCAATGGTATTTATTTATCCACTAAAACCCTCAATGAGTCTCTAGACTGCTCTTCAGGTGGGTCCTGCCACGTAACGCACGGCCGGCTGCTGCTGCTGCTGGCGTGCTGCGATGGTCAGCAACAGGATCACGGATCGCCGCTGTGGTTCCATCTACCCGGCGCGGCATTTGAAGCAGGTTTCTTAAATCGCATCTCACCGAGGGTGGCCTGACATCGGCAGGTCGGGCGTGGTGGGATAAAGTGTGGGTACTCTTATCAAGGACGTTGGATGATGGGGCTCCCCACGGCAGCTCCCTCTAGTTGAGGCCCTCTTCCGCCAGCGGTGGCTTGAGCAGGACATTGCAGGGCTGTGCCTTTATCGCTCTCTCATTTTTGTTTGTTTTCCATTTGGTTGCGTGAGAAAACCCATCACGAGGGAACAACACACTCGAAGCTCCGCACGGATGGATTCAACATTCCATTGCTGTGCTGCCATCCTCTGGCTGTCTGGCCACCCGGCGGGTTTTTAGGAAGTTTCTGAGATCTCAAAGTGATCAAAGCGACCCGTTGCAATGTATAAGAATTAGTTTTACCCTTTCTGGACATAAAACAGCCGTTGTTAAGATGTGAAAATACCAAACAGAAACCTTTCGCAAGGAATCATGTCTGCATTAACCACACACTTACTTTACGGTGAATATGCAGACAAAAACATGCTCTGGTAATTCATCATAAAGGTTTTTGGGTTAGATAGCGTAAGTAATAAATGTGTCGTAATCCTCCACCACCCGACACAGCCAATTAGTAGATGTCGTGGATTTACTCTCCAACACACCGGTGGGCTGAAATAGTAACTAATTGGCACGTTTTGTATACGTGACAAATCCCTTGCTAATTGGCCGTGTCGGGTGGTGGAGGGTTACGACACATGTATTACTAATACGCGATCTAACCCAAAAACCTTTACTATGGATAATATTGGTCGCGAAAGCACACTACGTTTTAAACTATGCTTTGGTAACATATGCATTTTCTAACACCGTTTGAGACTAGGCTCTAAAGAAAGCTGTCTCTGGTGTGGACCAATCAGTTTCAAATACAATGCATCATATTATCAGAGTATCTGTTTGTTTGCATTTTGACCGCAAGTATTGTCGTTAATGCGGACAGGATTCCTTGCAAAAGGTTTTTGTTTGGCGTTTGAACATCTCAACACCGCCTGTTTCCTTTCCAGAAAGGGTCAAACCAATTCTTACATAGTGATATACTAGCAAGAAAGATATCATGACCCTTGCAATGTTCGCGCGAGTACAAGATTGACATTGGTAATCGAGGAATATCGTCAAGGGGAGATTGTGCTCATAGCCAAAGGGGGGATGGAACAAAAGCTGAAGAGTGCACAAAGAAGCGTTGGAACCTTGCGTTGCTTCGAATTCAGAATCAGATGAGTTATTCATTTATCCGGGAGGAGGAATCTGATGAGCTATGAAGCTTTTTTTCACAGATGTCCAGTAGGGACGGAACGGGGGGGGGGGTAGTGTGGGGTCAACAGGTTACGTCAACAAACAGCAAACGATACGCGAGTCAATAAACGCATATTAATGAAGTCACGTGGTTTACGAGAGGCTTGAGATAACTAAGATTGAGAGAGAGAGAGAGCTGTCTAGATTAAGAACGGGAGGGATTCAGAGTGGGAGGGTGACCACCGCACTACACAGGTCACGTGATTTACAAGAGGCTAGAGATAACTAAGATTGAGAGAGAGAGAGAGCTGTCTAGATTGATCGCTTCTGACAAAAGAGCTACATCGCTTCAGTGGGCCTTAACTGGTGGTAAATAAAATAAACGTAAAATTAAAAGGTTTGCCATTCAGAGACGTCGCACTGACTGCCAAATAAGAGTGAGCGGGAACACAGACAAAGGACCCCCGTATAGCCTTCAGCAGGATGTCGGGTGGGACAAGTGCTGTTCGCAAGCGGCACCTGTAAGCCTGCTTTTAATTGGGACTTTCTTAATGCGTTCTTTTTATGATGTCTCTGCTAGAAATTTGTTGCAACGTGATTTTATCCGGCCTACAATTTCACGTGTATTGTGCATGCCTTTAAAGCACTTGTGCATTGCATTTTTGTTGCACGGATTGTGCGATCGGAGGAAAGTTTGATTGCTTGATTGATGAAAGGCGGCGCGGCACACGACGGGTTGAGTGGGTGTCCAGCAACACGCCCGGCCGCCTTTGTCTCCCCAGTGGCGACGTTTACACATCGCACCGGGTTACTCATTTCAGGCTGAGTCGACCCAGGCGAGGGTGCGGGAGGCGCGGTTTGCAGAGCACCGATTCAGATAAATCGTCACTCAATGCAACCTCGTGCATAGCGCGGGCATGCACCACGTTTGGTTGCGTAGTCTCGCGTCGCCCCCTAGTGGAGTGACTGGTGACTCTGTCGAGACGCCACGTGTCGCCTCGTTTGAAGTCGCATTCGCGCGGATCCACCAAGCGTTACCAGCAGCCTCTCTCCTTACACCCGAAGCGTCTCGATCTCAACCGGTGGTTCTTCTTCTTCTTAGCCTGGGGCAGTGGCGGATTAAGCTAAGTGCGGGACCTGTAACATATGATGTTATAAAGGGGCCCTTAATAAATAAACACATCAATATTAAAACACAAATGTTTAACTTGCACAGTAAAGTAATTGTATTTTTTTATTTGCTATACAGCCAGGCAATACGACAAATCGCTAACCTTAAACACCCAGTCGTTCATAAAAGTTGAAGGCGGTATAGTACTATAGTAATAGAGCACGTGCAGAATCACTGAACCGGAATTGACAGCTTGAAAGCGTTTAGCGCGGGGCCCTTGAAATTGCGGGGCCGGTAGTAACTACTACACGTGCAGTAGTAGCTACTACACGTGCAGTAGTAGCTACTACACGTGCAGTAGTAGCTACTACACGTGCAGTAGTAGCTACTACACGTGCAGTAGTAGCTACTACACGTGCAGTAGTAGCTACTACACGTGCAGTAGTAGCTACTACACGTGCAGTAGTAGCTACTACACGTGCAGTAGTAGCTACTACACGTGCAGTAGTAGCTACTACACGTGCAGTAGTAGCTACTACACGTGCAGTAGTAGCTACTACTACACGTGTAGTACTACGAGGGTAATCCGGCACTGGCCTGGGGTACACACCCAACCCCGCTGGTGGTGCGAGATACGAGACATGACCAGATTGCGTGTTATTTTTTTTAGAAGGTAACTCATCAAAACGCAAATTAAGCACGGGGCCACGTAAGTTACAACTTGCTTTGTTTCATCAAACCGCTATGTATTTATTAACATTGTAAAAAAATACGATTGAGAATCTAAGGGGTTGAAATGCTGCAGTAAAGGTTAAGCACCGCTGATCTCGAGACTCACAGCACGACGCATCGTAGCGATTAGCGCTGTCGAATACGTACGGTGCGAAAGAAGTTCAACGTACGCACATCAACGTAGCACACGGGGGGGGGGGGGGTCAGGGTTGTATAACGCAACCGCGACGAGAAAGCGATGATCCGAGACTTAAACCCATCAGCGTTTCCAGATGTCTCGAATTACTCAAATTGTTTCAATTCCAAGGGCAGAAGTGGGGGGGGGGGGGGGGGGGGGGGGGTAATTCCAGGGTTGTTTTGATGGTGGTGGGGTGTAAGGGGGGCCCGTGGGGGGATTATCTTGGTATGGGGAGCGGTGGCGTAGCGGTGAGATAGTGTGTGTTGCATTTCTCTAGGACACGTAAGTTGTTGTTTTTTAGAGAGAGCTGTTTTCAAGTGAGTGTGTGCTTTCCACGTGTTTCTTGAGCGTGTGTTGAAGAGTGTGTGGCACATGTGTCAACGGCCACCAACACCAATGACGATGATCTGAACCGGTCCTTGGCCTCCCTTGGGTCGACTCAGCCTCAAACCAGTACCTGGTGCGGTGCGTAAAAAACATCGCCACTGGGGGAGACAAAGGCGCCCGGGCGTGGTGCTGGCCACCCATCCCCCTCGTGTGTCCGTTTCGGCCTTCATAGGTGCTGCCGGCTCACCGCACTTGCCCCAGCAGTGTGTCAAGGCTATGCGGGGGATCTTTGTGTTTTCTTTTTTAAATATTGTCTTGGTGAATCAAAGCGCCGTCTGGAAATTCCAGCGTTTCATCTTCCGTACCGCACCACTCTCCTCCTCCGCCCCACAATCGTTCATTGCCTTGCACCGACCACGAAAAAAACGTCGCTTGCAAACCGCGTAACTCAGAAGAGCGCCAGGGACCATCTCTCCTGGCGTGAGTGGCGACGCTTCTCCATAGCTGCTGCTTGCTTGCTGATGCTGCTGCTGCTACTACACTCCTGACAGCAGCAGCAGCCGTCTGCAACTCTCTCTCTGTGTTTTTTTTATTTCACCAGGTCAGGCCCACTGATCTATACGGCTCTTTGTCAGAAGCGACGTGGCCACGAATGACACCGCTCAACGGAAGTGGCTTCTCAACGTGGGCCATTTATAGCAGGAGCCAAATACTCTAAGCGACTAGCCTTTTGCCCGTCCAAGGACTGGTGTATTGCAGTAAATCTGAAACTTGCAAGCGAAAATCTGACCGCGACGTGAGATATTCACTGCATCAATGCGTGTGCAATTTGTAAGGGCGCGGTGACACATACTTATATCATTTAAAGGTTATAATCCCTTGTTCATCAAGACGTCCTTTTTACTTCGATGTCTCAACAACAGCGTTACGGAGATCACGTGACGTGAGGGTTCTGCCTTTGTAGTGAGGGTTGTCAGTTGACGATGAGGAGGGGGGAGGAGGCGTCTCGCCCCCCCCCCCCCCCCACGTGGCAGCTAATTATTATGAATGACGGGGGGGGTGTCTATTTGGAGGACGTCACCTGCTCATGAATATTAATGAGGGGGGCTGGTCGATGTGGAGCGACGTCACGAGCGTTAAGGACAGACATTCCTGGGTGATTATAGTAGGTTTACCCTCCTCAAGTTTAGATTTAAAGCTTTCGTGACTGCTAGGATCCATACTCTTTGGTTCTATTGGGTAAAGTCACGTAGGTAAAAAAAAACAAAATAACAAAAATCACGACGTTTCGGCCACAACACAAGCGGCCTTCATCAGGTGAAGGGACGAGACTGTCTGGAGGACAGCGCTCCTCACCACCACCACCACCACCTCCTCCTCGCCCCTAACCCTCGTTCCTTCTCCTCGTCCGCGCACCTGTGTCCGGCAGGTGGAGTTCGAGGACGTGATCGCCGAACCGGACAGCGCCCACAGCTTCGACGGCGTGTGGAAGGCCAGTTTCACGGCCTTCACCGTCTCCAAGTACTGGAGCTACCGCCTCCTCACCGCACTCGTCGGCGTGCCTCTGGCGCTGGCCTGGGGCGTCGTCTTCGCGCTGCTCACCTTCCTGCACATCTGGGCCGTGGTGCCCTTCGTGAGGAGCTTCCTCATCGAGATCCAGGCCGTGAGCCGCGTCTACGGCGTGTGCGTGCGCGCCTTCCTCGATCCGCTCTTCCAGGCCGTCGGCAAGGTCCTCTCGGGCATCCACGTCGTCCGTCGCAAGGAGGTCGAGTGACCCCACCCCGCCCCGCCCGCCCGCCTCCCGACGGACCCATGACGACCGCCCTCCCGCCATGGTGATGCCGGGGTCGATGGTGGGGGAACGACGTCCCGGTTGCTCGCTCGGTCCATTGATTGGTTGAGCGAGCGGTCGGATTGCGCCGATCAACTGACTGACCCGCTCGATGGACAAGCGCGATCGCTCGCACACCTTCGGTCCAGGACACCTGGCCGTATGGCCGCCACCATTCATGCGAGCGAGCGAGCGAGCGAGCGAGCGGCCTTCGGTGGAGTTGACCGCCCCGTCCGCCCGCTCGCCCGCTCGCTCGCTCGCTCGCTCCGTAAACCAACCGACCGCTCGCCTGTTCTGTCCATTCCCTGCCCAGTTGACCCTTCGCACCCACGAATGACTACACTTCTTAACTCACCCGCTCGCTCGCCAATCAGCTACTTAACCTCGCGCACCGCTGGCCCGCTCGCTCGCTCTTACTCAGCGAAGTGTGGCACAGCGAGTGACAGCTCTTACTCGGCAAAGTGTTTCTTCGATTTGCTGTTTGCCCGCTCGCCCGGCCACCCGATCAGCTGCACCGCTTGTGTGGGTTGACAAAATCACCCGTGCGGTCGACCGCTTGTTCGAATGCTCGCTCGATTGCTTGACGAGTCGACCGACCACTCGCTCATACAGCCACCGGCTCAGTTGCTCGATTCAACCACTCAGCCGCTCAATTGATCATGAATTCAGTGAACCGCTCGAGTCAATTTCAGCCGCCCGCTCAGTCAACCACTCGCTCAGCCACTCGCTCAGCCACTCACTCAACGGCTCGCTCAGTCAACCACTCGCTCAGCCACTCGCTCAGCCACTCACTTAACGGCTCGCTCAGTCAACCACTCACTAAGCCACTCGCTCAGCCACTCACTCAACGGCTCGCTCAGTCAACCACTCGCTCAGCCACTCGCTCAGCCACTCACTCAACGGCTCGTTCATTCAACCACTCACTCAGCCACTCGCTCAACCACTCACTCAACGGCTCGCTCATTGAACCACTCGCTCAGCCACTCACTCAACCACTCACTCAACGGCTCGTTCATTGAACCACTCGCTCAGTCACTCACTCAACCACTCACTCAATGGCTCGTTCATTGAACCACTCGCTCAGCTACTCACTCAACCACTGACTCAACGGCTCGCTCATTCAACCACGCGCTCAGCCACTCGCTCAGCCACTCACTCAACGGCTCGCTCATTCAACCACTCGCTCAGTCACTCAATCAACCACTCACTCAATGGCTCGTTCATTCAACCACTCGCTCAGTCACTCAACCACTGACTCAACGGCTCGCTCATTCAACCACTCGCTCAGCCACTCACTCAACCACTGACTCAGCGGCTCGCTCATTCAACCACTCGCTCAGTCACTCGCTCAGCCACTCACTTAACGGCTCGTTCATTCAACCACTCGCTCAGTCACTCACTCAACCACTCACTCAACGGCTCGCTCAGTCAACCACTCGCTCAGCCACTCACTCAGCCACTCACTCAACGGCTCGTTCATTCAACCACTCGCTCAGTCACTCACTCAACCACTGACTCAACGGCTCGCTCATTCAACCACTCGCTCAGCCACTCACTCAACCACTGACTCAACGGCTCGTTCATTCAACCACTCGCTCAGTCACTCACTCAGCCACTTATTCAACGGGTCGTTCATTCAACCACTCGCTCAGCCACTCAATCAACCACTCACTCAACAGATAATTTACTCAACCATGCGCTCAGCCACTCAATTAACCACCCACTTAACAGCTCAACTCAATCACCCACTCAAGCAACCCACTGCTCGCTTAACCAATCGCTCACTCACCCAACCCACTCGCTCGACTGCTCGGCGCTCAACTACGCAGCCAGCTTCACGGCTGTGGGGGGGGGGGTCTTGGTATGCCTTGGGAGAGACGTCGTTTGGGACCTGGCGTGCTGTAGCCCAGCGGATAGTTAACGCGTGCACAGATAATCACGCGAAGCCTGTGGGAAACGCATCGAGATAGTAACCACGCGGAGTCAATTACGCACCAAGGCCTCCTGGTTGAGTGTAATTACAGAGTAGACGCAAAGCCGTCTTGACTAAAGTGAGGTTAAAAGACACACTGTATACCAACGCAATGTCGTGCGTTTGCCATGCAGCTGCATGCGCACTCCTCGATGTGAGCGTTGTGGACGAACCTAAAAAAAACCGCTGATGGAAATTCCACATTCCTATGCCGAGGGCCATAACATCCACATACCAAAAAAAAACATACATAACGTTTTATTTCACTCACAAGTGGTGCTAACACAAACTCGAATCCACAGGGGGACGATGTCGATGCCGACGATGACGCTCGTGACGGTGGTGAGAATGGTTTCGGGTTAGGGCTCCAGTTACAGACAAATGATGATGTCAACGACGAAGACGACGAGGGTCAGGGGGCCCTCGGGGTCGAGGGTCAGGGGACCCTGGGGGTCGAGGGTCAGGGGGCCCTTGGGGTCGAGGGTCAGGGGGCCCTCGGGGTCAAAGGTTAGGGAGCCCTCGGGGTCGACGGTCAGGGGGCCCTCGGGGTCAGGGGGCCCTCGGGGTCGAGGGTCAGGGGGCTCTCGGGGTCAAGGGTCAGGGGGCCCTCGGGGTCGAGGGTCAGGGGGCCCTCGGGGTCGAGGGTCAAGAGGCCCTCGGGGTCGAGGGTCAGGGGGCCCTCGGGGTCAAAGGTTAGGGAGCCCTCGGGGTCGACGGTCAGGGGGCCCTCGGGGTCAAGGGTCAGGGGGCCCTCGGGGTCGAGGGTCAGGGGGCTCTCGGGGTCAAGGGTCAGGGGGCCCTCGGGGTCGAGGGTCAGGGGGCCCTCGGGGTCGAGGGTCAGGGGGCCCTCGGGGTCGAGGGTCAGGGGGCCCTCGGGGTCGAGGGTCAGGGGGCTCTCGGGGTCGAGGGTTAGGGGTGCCCTCGGGGTCGAGGGTTAGGGTGCCCTCGGTGTCGAGGGTTAGGGTGCCCTCGGGGTCAAGGGTTAGGGGGGTCGTGGGGCCTGTGTCTCGTGGTAGAAACGAGACCTCCGTCTCCACTTGCTTTTGACAATTTGACGATAATTGCATCTCTACTGTACGTTCAACAGGAGTGGATGAACTTTGACGCTTTTGAGCACTGGCCTTTAATTGCAGAATTATGTTGCTTATTAGATACGTAAATATACATATATATACACGCACGTGCGAGATAATGCATGCATTCACAGTTATACACGTTTAACTTTAAAGACAAAGATCTCCCGTATAGCCTCTGCAGACTGTTTGGGGCAAGTGCTTCGCATGATATCTTGACCCGACATCCTGTCAGGGCTATCAAGGAGGACTTTAATGTCGACCCAATCTTAAATGAGTGCTTGCTATGGTGTGTATAACTTGTATCACCCCTGGGGAGACAAAGGCGTTCAGGGCTTCGTTCTGGCCCCACCACCAACCCATCGTGCGCTGTGACGGCCTTAATAGGTGCTCGCAAACAACAATGCAACAACAACAATCGCCGTTCGCCACTAAGTGGCCGTGACATCAGCACGGCGCTTGTGCCAGGCTAGGTGCATATTGAGGCCACACACACACGCACACAAAACCATACTGCATTACAAATACGAACACACACGTACCGTGCGATTCACACATCTTATAGATAATTACATGACGACAACATGTATGCAATAAGCCCGACAACGCCTATCAATGTAGCATACATATATAGATATGTACACAATCGTGCTATCTGCAATGGCATTATGAATTTAGTGGCATTTGTTTCCAATATGTAAATCCATGTACAGCCTTTATACAGTCAATCCACTGCAGGACGAAGGCCAATCCCGTGCCTGGCGGATCATAGGGGATTTTTTGACCATACTTCACCACCCTGGTCAATGCGGGTTGGTGAAGGCAGGGAGCGCAGAACGTGGCATCACGGTACAGGACAACAATTTACATTTCATACTCTTTGGTTCTTTCGGTAAAGTCACGTCGGTATAAAATAAATACATCGCGACGTTTCGGGCGCAACACCAGCGTCCCACCTGATGACGGACGCTTGTGTTGCGCCCGAAACGTCGTGACTTATTATATTTTCTACCTACGTGATGACTTTTCCGAAAGAACCAAAGGAGTATGGATTCCTGCAAGTAACAAAAGCTTGAAATCAAGTTACATTTCGCAAACACTGCCCTCTACTGCCTACAGCGTAGCCCGGGCAGCAGCCTATAGCAACCTGGTGTGTGCGTGGCGGTCACCCCATCCACGCACTATCCAGGCCCAATTCTGCTTAGCTTTACGAGATCGGCCCCATTCCGCGTTATTTTGAGATTAAGTTACAAGCTTACATTTTCATGGCTGGGCGCTGATATGTGACCAAAGCATGAGCTTTTGTTAACTATTTTGCAGAACAATGAACTTAACAGATGTAGATTACACACATTGTACTACTCTGTGTGTGTGTGTGCGTGTAAATATATGAAATGCTATTCATTGGTTATTATTCAATTTGTGCAGTGGAAATTCCACGTTCACATGGACCGAGCCAGTCCATCCGTAGGACAGCTGCCATTCATTGACTCCCTCCTCCCCATCCCTCCTCATTGAGTGGCGCATTCCTGCCAACTGTATGCTCATTTTATCCACCCGAGATGATGATGATGGTGATGATGCTTTACAAAATGCCATTTCACTCTTAACCATCGTCAATAAATGCTTCTGTAAATTAAAATGTGCTTGTGTGCTCCCTACGATGGTTAAATAAAGGATTTTTTTGGATGCCATCATTATTTTGTTGTTGCTGTGCTTTCAAAGCAGTCCGTGTGCTGGTGGTGAAGGCCAGGTTCACAGCGGAATCGCGATCAGTTGCGTGCTACCAGGTGGCGTGTAACTGATTGCAACCCGGTTGCGTGCAACCGAATCGCAATCGGTTGCGTGCAACTCAGTTGCGTGCAACATAACCGCAACCGGTTGCGTGCAACCGAATAGCAATCAGTCGCTTGGTTGCCCGAACAGCTGAGAACTGGGTTCTAATCCAGTTTTCAGCCGCCTGTGATGAAACCGGATTCTCGATTGCGGAGCAGTCGATGGTGTCAGCCAAAGCACCAAATCAGACATCAACGTTGCCCATTTGGTCCTGCACTTAAATCCTGTGATGGCTAAGAGGGGACCCGCTTACCAATAGCGTCTGGTCGTACAATGGGCACCGTAATTACAGGCTTTATAGTGCGGTGCGTTATACAGCACTGCAAGCCTATAGGACGAGGCATTTTTAACCTGCAGTGGATTGACGGAAGGGGTCGTGCAGACCGACTGTACGTGCACACCGATATAGTTTACGGGGTGCTGACGTAATTCGGGTAAAAGTTTAACATTCAGGTTAATTATTGAACACGTTGCTAACTGCCTAGGGCAGACTTTAAACGCTACGTATAATTTGCACGAGCCAGAACTCTGGTTTTTTTCCACATATACAGTATTTCATTTTCAATCTCATACTTTTTGACGACTGAAGAAGAGGTTTGTCTGTTACTCAAGAGCGAATCTTGGCGCGACTGTTCGTACGCCCTATTTACAAATAATCTGCTCGTCTGAAAACATTCTTCAACCGTAACGAACAACCACACACGTGCTTTTAAACGTGACCGTCCGTCTCTCTTGCCTCCTTGCGGCCACCCATGTTAATACAGTACAGGAGTCCCTCGCTTTATGCGGTAGTAGTAGATGCGTTCCAAAATAGCGGGCCGCACAAAGCGAAACCGCACGGGGAGACAGCTGCCTGCCGACAGGCGCACACAAATACAACGTTGTCACACGTCCGACCGCATAGCCTCATGTCGAGCGAATTCACACTTCTCAGAGCG